TAACCCTCCCTTCCCAAGGCTGCGGGAGAAAAGCAAAAATACAGCTTCCTGACCTTCCCGTTGTTTGGGGGAAGAGGGTGTGTTGATAGGACTTCACTATGCAGCCTTGGCTGGCCCTGAACTCAGCCTGCCTCTGCCTCCCCAGTGCTGGGGTTAAAGGTGTGAGCCACTGCACCAAGTCCTAACTTTCTTGATAAGACAACCATTGCCACATTTTTACCTACTTCCCACAGGCAAAGTTTGCGTCATTTTCTTTGTGCAGGTTTTCCATGCCCTTTGAAATCCTTAATCCTATTATAATATTGTAATGAATCTTTCAAGGTCTGACCAGTGCCCATTTCTCTTCCTAGTCCCGTTGTCTCTTGGGAGAAATTATAGGTGCTCTGCTGACTAATGCTGTAACAATGAGAGCAGCTCTTATAGAAGCTTCACCCAATTTGTTAAATTAACCAATATCACTTAATTGAGAAGACCGGTTAAGCTGATTTCATCAAAAACAAGAATGCCCAAAACTTGGGTAAGATGTCTGAGGCGAGCTGGGTTTCCCAACCACTCCATGTCCCTTAGTCTCTAAAAGCAACCACAAGCTTACCAAGAATGAACCCAGTGCTTACTGTGAAATTTACGCTAGTCATGCCATTATACTGGCCATGATTATTCATTAATACTGAACTGTGGTGGTATTCTAATTGTACCGAAATGTGATTTTGATTGTATGTTAATAAATAAAGTTACCCAGGGGTCAGAGCTATTAGAGCCATAGCAAGAGTGTGGCGGTGGTGGCACACGCCTTTAATCCCATAGATCTCTGTGTGTTCAGGGATACAGTCAGCATTGGAGACATATGCCTTTAAGACCTGGGGGGCTGTACATACAGACAGTGACGAGGCAGTCACGTGTTTGGGTTTACAACCAATGAGAAGGCAGAACAAAATACTATGAAAAGACGGACAGACAGGATATAGCTCTCTTTCGGGAAGCTGGGACACCGCAGGAGGAAGGGTGAGATTTTAGCTCTGAGCTCTGACCTCTCGGCTTTCTCTTTTACATTGGTTCTGTGTTTCTTATTTAATAAGACTGTTGGTTACATCTACACTGAACTATTAAGTTCCTAATACAAATATGACAAGATGTTCACGAACAACTAAAGGATTACAAAAAATGTCACATTCTAAATCGATGGCCTATCAAACATTTAAGTTCTCATTTTAAACTCCACCTTATAGAAGATACAGTTTACAAAGATGTTTCTGAACTGATATATACAGAGAAAGCGAAGATCTGGATCCCATTTGAAAAACAGGCAAACGGACACATATCTGTTTTAATTTAAAACAAATGTTTAAAGTCAACTATGATCATACACTTGGACTATCTATCAGTTAACCAATTAGGAAGCTTCTACTGTACCACTTTCAAAGTACATGTTTATCATGTACGACAATGATAAACTGACCTTAAAAAAAAAAAAAGCCCCTCAGTAAGCTAGTACAACCCTGATGTAGTTTATTTCTGACTCCTGGATTCAAACGTGTAAGCCAGGAAGACAGACAATGTCTTTTCTGGGACAGGTTCAAGGGGGTGGTTCTACACTGTCTGAGAAGTGAATATTCCCCCCTAGACTTTGAGACTTGTATGTAGGGTTATAGTCCTCATTCTAATCCTCACCTGAATTCACCTTCCCAGTCACTGTTAGTGTTTTCACAAGTTTCCTCTACACAGGTCCACGTTATGTCTCTTTTACACGTAACTCTAACTAACCTTTAGGTATTGCTTACCAACAAAGAACAGGGAATGTGGCACTCTTGGTCAAGTCATTGGTAGTTCAAATAAGTACCACCCTCCTTCCTCAAATCATTTTCCTTTTTACCTCAGACTCCCCAACTGTGTAGAACTCCTCACTGAATGCTACCCCTTAAGATGAGGAGGTTACCAAATGACCTAAAAAAGGCACTTCCCAATTATTCCATTATTCTTTCCTTTAAGGCATACACCTACAATATCATCTTAGTTCTTTAAATGTTAAAATACCCAGAGCCATAAATCAAAGTCTTGTAAATAAATACATCTAGAAAGCAGAAAAGATGGGTTCCAACTACTGCAAAATTCTTGTGTCCTTATTCCAACAGAAATCACCTAGTGATTCTCAGCTAAAAATAATGACTACATAGCAATTTTTAAAGTCCAAGACATATTGACATAAGGAGGAGAAAAATAAAAGGCTGGGCGGTGGTGGCGCACGCCTTTAATCCCAGCACTTAGGAGGCAGAGCCAGGCAGATCTCTGTGAGTTCGAGGCCACCCTGGTCTACAGAGTGAGATCCAGGACAGGCACCAAAACTACACAGAGAAACCCAGTCTAAAATGCTGCCTGCCTGGTTTTCTTATCTTGTTTCTCCACTAGTTAATAAATAGTGATTCTAAGGACCGAAGACAAAAATCTGCCCAGCAACTGCACCAAGCATCCCCACAATAGCCCCATGCCTAGCACACCTGTTACTCCTATTGAACTGAACTGTTTTCTTAGAAGGACTGAGGGTCCCACACTGTAAAATTGTAGTTTAAATTTAAAAAAATCTGAAGCGCTTTCCATACCACAATGTATTTAAAGTCGGAAATTAGGCTTTCTAGTATACAGTAATTCATTTGATTATGATTACATAGACTACCCTATTGGGGGCTCTTATCTTTTAGGTGTATGAAGAATTAATTATTGGGGTGCTCTCACAAAGAGTTGGTCCAAGTACCTAAAAAGGAAGACTACATCAGATTCAATATTGCATGCAGTTTCCTAGTAACAGAAAAGAAAGGAAAGACTGGAGTATGTCCTATGGAAGGAAAAAAAAAATCCATGTTTGACAAATACACTAATGACCAACTCTATGTGGTTAACACATCCTGCCTTCACTTTTGGTATACTTTGTAAATGGTATGAACTTAAGCATTTGACAATGCACATAACCAGAATGGCTTGTTGAAGAGCTAGGAATATTTTTTCCTCAGCTAATACGATGCAGGCGATTAATAGAACAGTAAGTTGTAATCATCATTGATGCTACCAGCCAATAACAGGAATTCATCAAGATTAGCTGCTCACTTTCTCAGAAGAAACCACACCCATGATTCATAAAGCAAAATGGTGTACTTTTTTTTCCTAAGAGAAGTATTTTAACTCTAAGTTTACTAGAAAGGAGAAAAAATATGGAAATTATTTCTAAGAAGGCATCACCTCTCTGAAAAGCCTGGAAGTCCACTTTAACCAGAGGTATTTACTGAGCCTTCTCGAGTTGAAACACCAAAGAGCCTTGGCATACCAGCAGTACTGCTGACCGATTCTACTATCCTCCTTCCCAAAAAACTACTCAACAGTACTGAGCCATTTATGCTACAAAGCAGAGCTGTACTTTTGAAAAGACCAACAGTAGAGGCAAAGCTTGTTTACAATCCTCTAAGTCACTTACATGGTAAAGACATTAAGCTTTCAAGGAAAACACTTCACTTTGGCCTTGTGAAAAGCCGGCGCTCTCCTGAAGGAGGCACACGTGCAGGCAAGAAGTGAGAAGAACCCATTCATGGACCCTTGAAGAGGCTATTTACAGATAACTGCATCTTTCTCATTTATCTGCCCTGCGGTTTTCTTCGTAAGGAAAGCAAGAGGAGACCGCTGGGGCTGCTAGCTTTTCCTTAGGAAAAGCCTCAAGAATTCCAGAACTGTGGAAAATATTCGAACACCTACCTGGAGTTGCAAACAAGCTCACAGAAGGTAAATGTTAGCATGTCCCTTCTATCCCTAAAATGTTTTTGCGTAGGAGAAATTACATCTGTTAAATATACCCTTTGAAGCCAAAATAAAAACCAATAGTTGGGAGGGGGAAAACCCCCACAAAACCAACTAGGGCTTAATAAAACCTAGTGATATACAAATTAGCAAGGAAAGCACAAACAAACCCAACACGTTTTTATTATGAAATGGATACTTTTCCAGTTCTCAATGTTAATTAGCTAATTTTAACATACATAAATTATTTATCTTCAATATAGCAATTTCCAACCTTGGGAAAACAGCAGTTATAAAACCCTTTATTACATAAAGAAACAAAAATGTACCCAAAGCAGAAGCCACTAAGACTGTAGTTTCAGTTGTTTTTTTTATCTTAAAATGAATTCAATCTTTAAAAGCCTGAAATTTTTTGAAGGATTAAAAAAAGTACAACTCAGGAATCAAAACTTTCCTATCAATAAAAACAGTCTTAAGAGAGTTCTAAGTTGCCAGGTGTAGTGATTCCATTTGGGAGACTGAGATAGCAGAACCAACACGAGTTTTAAGGCTAGCCTGGATTATAAGATGGGTCCTGCCTCAGCAATTTAATTAGTTGTCCTTCTATTAGAGTATCTCAATTTTCTGAATAAAAAAAAAACATTATTTTTAAAATAGGACACTCACACAAATGTAACATTTAATTCTCTTAGCTCAAAAGCACAGTACTTCGACACAGTAGGTGCCAAATACTTAAGACACTCCTAGATCCTTAAGACTAAGTTTGAGTTTATTCATAACCACCTTTCATTGTTTGTCAATGTTCAAAGTTGACTTCTAACACACAAATCCAAACAAGCAATTGCAAACCAGTTTTCTGCACAGTAGGCTCATTCTATTATCATAATGGCAAGTCCAGAGAAGGGAAATGGGTCTACAGTGAAGTCTCTACCACACTCCTTACATAAAACAAGGATGTAAAATTCCTGTGTTCATCACACACATACATTTATGACTATCAGCTCTAGCACTACAGGAACACTGCTGAGTGGAATGGTTTGGTTTCTATCTAACTCGAACTAAGTGACAAACATTATTGCCTTTAGCTTAGAGAAATGATCTACTACTGTTCCAGCATCTTTTAAATGACAGATGGACAATTTCTCACTTACAACAGCCAGTTTTTAAAAGGAAAAGAAAGTCTTTTGGGTTTGTTACAATGCAGCTAAAGCAGACGATCTTACCAGCACATCATTGCAGATGTCTCTTAGCTCCGTCTCGATTTTCTCTCTGTATTCCCGGGCCATCTGCTGCTTTTTCTCAGCACCTTCCGTCTTTTGCTCGATACTTGAGACGACCCTCCAAGATGACCTACGGGCTCCTACAACATTTTTATAAGCAACAGAGAGAAGATTCCTCTCCTCATTAGATAACTCAGCACCTTGCTCAGTTACAGACTTCATGCAGGCTGCCATGTCATCATATCGCTCAGCCTGCTCGGCCAGTTTGGCCTTCTGCACCAGCTCATTTTTATCCATAACTGGATATTCTGCAAAGGGAAAAAAAAAGGAATATTCAGAAAATTCCTACTAGAAAAGCTCGTTGTACCCGTTGTAATAAGGTATTCTAGTATCTCAACTCTAGCCATGTTCATAGTCACATGAGGAATTAAAATGCAGCCCCCATCAACCAAAAAATTAGCATACCCTGCGCATTAACAGTGGCTTAGTACAACTGTTTAGATCCCAATTTCACGTAAGATCAAAGCATACACAGGCTATGAGTGATCTCAAAAACCACCTTGAGGCAGTCCTCTCTCCTGTCACTGCTGTCCCTTCCGTGTAGTCAATAAACTTGTTTCCTTAAAAGGCAAAACAAAAGAACTCCACCCTTTTCCTTGGTTAAAAGCTCAACTTGATCCCAATACCACTAAATGATCTGCACTGAAGCAGCTTTCTCGTGTGAGTGTGTGTGGGGGGAGAACACTCCAGGCCGGGACCTATAATGCCTACACACAGCATCCAAGTTTCCACTATTCTACCACACTTCCAGAACCATGAGTCATGTCAGTGTAATATAATTCAGATATTCTAACCTTCATTCTAGTTACTTATCAGCACTGATTAAATTTTACTTATCATTTTCCCCAACCCCAATCTACTACACTTCTAACATTTGCCAGCTGATTATAGAATGAAAATTACCTGAAGAAAATGACTAATTGCTGCTTAAGGTATCTTGAATATAAAACTACTAGCTCAAACCACATATATCTATATGGAGTTATACGCACACTTATGTAGCAAACTCCCTAACTCAATTCCTACTGTGAGTGAGCACTAAGGAGTACACAGGCATGGGAGGACCCAAGTGCCCCCAATGTCATTACTGCAGTTTGGACGTAGAATCCCTGCATTATTTCTAGCAGTCACAACTCATTACTCAAGCTATTCCTGTTTCCTCAGTTAATTTTCTTTCACGCAATTTTAAAGTTCCCTAGATCCCAATTTATTTCTTATTTTTTTCCTTAAACGATGTCAACAGCAAGATCGAAAATCATAATGATCCCACAAAACAAATTTTAATAAAAGTCACAACCTGAATGCACTATTAAACAAGGTCCGCAGAAGCCATTGCCACCCACCATGGCAATTATCACCCTTTCCTTTCCCCTTCCAGAAAGCACTCCTCTATTTTAGTAAATCAATGAGAAGCATCCTCAACTGAGACGTGCGCTGGACTAAGTCCAATTCGAGGCACAGTACCTTCAGTGCATAACCATTTAAAATTTGGGAACCCACGCTCCCCCCCCCCCGGGGTCTCGAAATCTAACATCAGAAATGGTCTCTGGTTAACGTTGCTCCCAGGAAGAAAATGATGTACGCCCAGGACGAACGTCCCCGGCCAGCCTCTCCCGTGGAAGGGGAAGTGGATTAGGTTTCTCACAGGAAGACCAGTGTTCCCGGGCCTCGCCTCTCGACTGCGGGGAGACTCGCCGCACCCACTTAACCCTTGGCTGCCTGCGGCCGGCGGGTGGGGCAAACCGAAACCGCGCGGCGGTGACTTTAAAGCTCCAGTCCTCGCGTCCGCGCCATCCGCAGCCACCTCCCCTCCTTGGCTCCGCCCAGGCTGGCGCCTCCGCGCTAGTCCCCGACTCTCTTTGTCATGGCGGAACTGTGTCAAGGAGCCCAACCTCCCCCGACTGCGAGCCCCCCCCAGCCCGAACCGAGGGAGGAGCAGTCCGCGCTCCCGCCCCAGCCCGATGGCGGGGGTGGGGTGGGGTGGGGGGGAGCGGATCGGCCTCCCCGGGGGCCCCCGATGCCGGCGGCGCCCGCAG